CATATTCATTGCCAAAAGTCAGTTAAAAATTTTCCATATTATTCCTTTTTTTTTATTTTATTCAAAGTTTTTGGTTAAATTCCAAATTTTCTCTCAAACCGTATACTTTTTTTTAGTATAGATAGTATTTATTTACCTCATGATATGCTGCAAAACTTAATTAATCACGAATTTCTAACTTTATGTACTCTTGTCTCCGTTTATACCTCCCAAACATCCTTAAATTGGTTTAGTAAAAATAGTATGCAATTAACATAATCCAAATGCTTCCAAAACTTTTGCAAACATTTACTTCCATAAAGTAAAGATAAATGGAAATTGTTGTAAATGAATCAATAAACCAAAGAGAGACTCACCCTAGCTACCACAAATTTTCACCCATTTCTAAACATTAGAAATGGGCGAAACACGTGTCTACAGTAAACAAGTTTGTGGTAACTAATAATATCGGTCTCTTAATGAATATTTCAATAAATCCAAATTTAAAAATTGGGCAACGTTTTGTAAGGACGAACATACATATAATTTCCAATAGATATAACAGAGGGTTAGGCAGTTTCGTGATTCAATGCATAAATATGTTTTAGAGAAGTTTCAATAATGACCGTGAAATTACCATAGTAGATACTTAAATGAGTTCAATGTTCCTATTTCAGTTGTTAACGAAAAAAGTAAGGAAAGTCCTTACACGAAATGTTTAAAACTATTAACGTAAATATTTATATCTTTATAATAGAATCAAGTAATCCAATAACAATTTTTGTAATTTATTCAAAAACTATTTGCACAACGCTTTTCTTCAAATAAATTCATTTCCATGGAAAAAGATACGTTAGTAATAACTAACCCAATATCACGAATTGTTCGTAGTGGAGTTTACCAAAATCATTTAAAAAGTTAATGTATTTGCAATGTGTAAGACCTTTTTCATAGAAACACATGCAGTAAAACTTCTTTAGGCCAACACAATTTCAAGGAAAGTTTTCAAAAAGCAGTTAGTAGTATAAAAACCATATAAAACATTGTTTTCTTTTGTATTGAAGTCAATAATCGAAAGTAGGCTAATTTGTTGTCAAATTCAAATAATAAACGTATTGATAATCTCTAAAGAAATATACATAATAAAGCGTCTTTACAAAGAGAAATTAGACCAATAATTTTCCTAAAAAACAGATCAATAGGTTTTTAGATTTGTTTATAGTATAGATTAAAGTTATAAACAAGTGTGCTCCATTTAGGAACGAAGATTACCTGATTAAAACATGTATTTGCTTGTTTAATGTTATATCAGACACTAAACAAGAGATAAATAGGGCATATATTTAAGTAATATAATTTATAACAATAATGTGCTTATATTTTACATTATCATTACATAATCATATTCTGAGAAAACATATGCTCTTATCGGTCGAACTTTGTAGACAACAAAATGAACTAATATTATGTGGGTGGTAGTTTAAGTAGGTAAATTATAAACACCTGAATGAATAGTTCTTTGCAATTTCACGTTCTACTAATGTTAAGGCGACTAAAAATGGCAAAAGGTCGTCTCCGTAAAAACAGAAAATCTAAAATAATTGGTTACTAAAACCTAAGATAAAAACCAAGTAGAATTTGTTACGATAATTATTGCTTATGCAATTTTATAGCCTGTGCTAGTCAACATTCTACTACAATATGCCACAAAAGTTCAGTATCACTTTCACTGATTCAAGTTAATGTAGGTACTTAAGGATGTTTGAGAGGTACAAGAGTACATAAAATTAGAAATTCGTGATTAATTAGGTTTTGCAGCATATCATGAGGTAAATAAATACTATCTTATAAGTACTAAAAAAAAAGTACACGGTTTGAGAGAAAATTTGGCATTTGACCAAAAACTTTAAATAAAATAAGAAATAACGAATAATATGGAAAATTTTTAACTGACTTTTGGCAGTGAATATGCCTTGATTTCAACTTCGAAACAAAAAAATATTTAGTTTCAATCT